CAGTCATCAATCTTCAGCTTTCTATTTCTAACCGTCGATAAAAACTAAATAAACGTCAAAGATCACCTCTTTTTCGCTATTCCCAGAACAAATTCGCCAGGTCATCAATCTGTATTAACATCAATAAACTAACCAAAGCCGTCGATTAAACTTCAGTACACGAGCAAAATCAACGGCTCAGATCCCTTTCATTCCCGCAATAATTTTCAAACTCCCATTTATAAATAAACCTCCAAATCCCCAATCTCAGTACCAACAGAAATCATATCCAAACAAATTACAAATTTTCATCAAACCCTTGAAAACTCCAATGGCTCGTACAAAGCAAACCGCTCGCAAATCCACCGGCGGTAAGGCTCCACGAAAGCAGCTAGCCACCAAGGCCGCTCGCAAATCTGCCCCTGCCACCGGCGGAGTCAAGAAGCCGCACCGCTTCCGCCCTGGCACAGTTGCTCTCCGTGAGATTCGGAAGTACCAGAAATCTACCGAGCTCCTTATCCGTAAACTGCCCTTCCAGAGGCTGGTTCGTGAAATCGCTCAAGATTTTAAGACAGATCTGAGGTTCCAGAGCTCAGCTGTGGCGGCGCTTCAGGAGGCCGCGGAGGCTTACCTGGTTGGACTTTTTGAGGATACTAATCTCTGTGCAATTCACGCTAAGAGGGTTACCATTATGCCTAAGGATATTCAGTTGGCCAGGAGGATTCGGGGTGAGAGAGCATAGTTTAATTCATGCTTGCTAGAGGCTTGTTTAGTTGTAGACTTGTAGTGGTTATGAAGGATTTGTATTTCTACCCTCGTAAAAATTTGTAGTTTGTTTGCATCGTTCTAATGAAAGTCTTACTTAGAAGAAGATGGTTCAAATTCTAATATTTAATCCATGGATTAGTAAACTTGATTTTGATTTTGTTTTCTGCAAAAAGAAACCTTTTGAAAGTTTATTATCTGCAATATTTTATTTCAGAAATTTCATTGTGAGTTAATCTTTTTGATGACCTATTTTAAAAATTTCAACCTAAATTGTGCAGTGAAGGGAAATGCGCTCTGTGCAAAAAGAAATTGTATGAATTAATCTTTTTGATTTTTATGTTTTTCAATATATATATGTATGAATCAAATTTTTTTTTTTCTTTTAAATAACACATTTTCAAAAAATAATGGAGCTCGAACATTGATTCAAACTTTTCAAAAGGGCACAATTGGTCCCAAATCTTTTTATTTTTGGCGCAAATGTTTTCCATCCAAAATAGTCCTTAATTTTATGCATAAAATGCACTTTCTTTCAAGGTGAATATCGCTTATTTAGCCCAAACTTTTGACAAAAGTAGCATTCCTAAACATTTTTTTTTGTTTTATTTTTATATTAAAACTTTGAGAGATAAAAAGCAAGTTCCTCTTATTAAAAAATGTTTTTAAATTTTACAATGGATTTTCAATCTTTCTATTTTTTGGTAATTTCGTCTCTATTTAATTTTTATTCCTCTCGCATATTGTTCCTGTTGATGATCTCCATTCATTTTTGTGATTATTGTTTGGAGAAAAACAATTCATCCTTAAAACATTAATAAATAAGTTAAAAACTCATACAAGATAGGTAGATGAAAAAGATAAAAATAAAGACTATTCTTCCCCCACCTTAACACCTATTCAAAATTCCACTCAAGCAGGGGCAAGAATCAGGAAGGTACAGTTATGGGGCC